GGCACGACCTACTAAGCTATGTTCTTCTTTATTGGCGATGCGACCGCAGAAAGACGTGGCAGCCTTAAATAATGTATCGAAAACTAGAGCGAGCGAGTAGAAGTTGAAATTTCATTTCGTTTTATTCAATTTTTCATTTCGAGTAAAGAATAAAAATTTTATAAAATAATTATGGAAAATAATAATTGATAACCGAAAAATCTTCAAGAAATTATTTTCATTAATTGATATAAATAGAAAGACGTCGATTTTTATTAAATGGAATAAATTGGCTCGGCAAGATGGGTTATAAAAATGATATTAAACTTCCTTACGGATATTTTATATAACATAAATGTTACATCCGCATTATGACACGATCCAGGCATTAAGATAAATATCGCGAGCCCGTATCATCAAAGTCCCATTCACCACTCGCTCAGTCGAGAGAGAATATTTCGATGGGGGATACATCCACCCCGAGATAAATTCCACGCGGGACGACGTGGCCTAATTATATTTCGAGGGAGTGGCGTTTCAACCACTCTTCGAAGGTGTCGTGTCTTTAAGGCATGAGCGTCTGCAGGATTTTTTCCTGGACATTTTTTTTATTTTTTATTTTTTCTCAATTTATTAATTATTTTTATATTAAATAAAATTGCAAATAAATTTCAGGGTTAATTCACAAGGAAAGCAAATGCTTAATTTTTTCTCGATTTTTTAAATTCAATTTTTATATTAAATAAAATTGCAAATAAATTCCAGGGTTCATTCACAAGGAAAGCAAATGCTTAATTTTTTCTTATTTTTTCTCGATTTTTAAAATTCAATTTTTATATTAAATAAAATTGCAAATAAATTCCAGGGTTAATTCACAAAGGAAGCAAATGCTTAATTTTTTTTCTTATTTTTTCTCGATTTTTTAAATTTATTTTTTATATTAAATAAAATTGCAAATAAATTCCAGGGCTAATTTACAAAAGGAGCAAATGCTTAATTTTTGTCTTATTTTATCTCGATTTTTCGAATTCAATTTTTCTATTGAATAAAATTGCAAATAAATCCCAGGGTTAATTCACAAAGGGAGCAAATGCTTAATTTTTTTTCTTATTTTTTCTCGATTTTTAAATTCATTTTTTATATTAAATAAAATTGCAAATAAATTCCAGGGCTAATTCACAAGGGGAGCAGATGCTTAATTTTTGTCTTATTTTTTTTTAATTTTTAATTTAATTTTTCTATTGAATAAAATTACAAATAAATTCCAGGGTTAATTCGCAAGGGAAGCAAATGCTTCCCTAACAACAGAAATGTTCGAAAGATATTCAGAGAATATCCCTAGAATATTGCAACATTCTATAGATATTCTCTGAATATCTTTCGAACATTTCTGCTGTTAGGGTTAATTTTTGTCTTCTTTTATCTCGATTTTTCGAATTTAATTTTTCTATTGAATAAAAAATTGCAAATAAATTCCAGAGTTAATTCACAAGGGGAACATTAGCTTAATTTTTTTTCTTATTTTTTCTCGATTTTTAAATTCATTTTTTATATTAAATAAAATTGCAAATAAATTCCAGGGCTAATTCACAAGGGAGCAAATGCTTAATTTTTTTTCTTATTTTTTCTCGATTTTTAAATTTATTTTTATATATTAAATAAAATTGCAAATAAATTCCAGGGTTAATTCGCAAGGGAAGCAAATGCTTCCCTAATAACAGAAATGTTCGAAAGATATTCAGAGAATATCCCTAGAATATTGCAACATTCTATAGATATTCTCTGAATATCTTTCGAACATTTCTGCTGTTAGGGTTAATTTTTGTCTTCTTTTATCTCGATTTTTCGAATTTAATTTTTCTATTGAATAAAAATTGCAAATAAATTCCAGGGTTAATTCACAAGGAGAACAAATGCTTAATTTTTATCTTATTTTTTTTCGAATTTACAATTTAATTTTTCTATCGAATAAAATTGCAAATAAATTCCAGGGTTAATTCACAAAGGAAGTTTTGTCTCGATTTATCTCGATTTTTCGAATTCAATTTTTCCATCGAATAAAATTACAAATAAATTCCAGGGTTAACTCGCAAGGGTCGAGGAAGTACCTAATTTTTTTTTTACTGATTCCAAGGGGGTTGAAAGAAGGGGAGGCAGATGTCCCCTTTGCGGACGCCCATGCTCTTCGGATCTGCACTCGGCGCAGGATCGAGCCTGCGTGAAACGCCGACTATCATCGGTCGCCATGGTAACGTGTCAAGTTCTCTCACCCCGACGTCCCGGCCTGCCGGGGGTGAGAGAGATGCGGGCTTTCAACCTTCCGTGTTCAGCCGCAGCGCCGGGGCGGCTCCCGTGCGGCGCAGACGTTCGGTTGACCCAGGTCGCGCGTTGGTAGCCGGAACTCGGAGAGTTCCGATCGTTTTCAACGTGTCGCTCTCCATCCGGGGGTTAGAACAAAAGAGGGTGGGCCCGTATGGGCGGCGGTCGCGTGTAATAAAGTGAGAGAGAAACGCCCGACACGAGATAGAGGGGTGCGTACCTTGAAACTGCGACTGACCTTGAACGCACGCAGACACACCTGCGAGAGCCGCGCGCCAGGTGAATTGATTAGCGCCCGAGAGGGTGGAATAACGCGAGGCAGGGCTAATCATGCGGCCTGGGTGCGCTTTGAAGGTTACAGAGTGCGATCGATGGTATTTTTTTTTTTTATTCCCGCGAGCCGATAGGAAAGTATCCAATTTCCAAGGACGTTGCAAGATAAGCCAATAATAATGTAAATGACAGTGCCAAAAATAGTGTTGGAGCGGTCGGAATTAAAATCATGTTACAAATCATAAATAATGATATATATGAAAATATATAATGAGATATATATATATATATTGTAATATAAAATATGTTACATCCCCTGTACATGCGAGAGAGATCTAAGAATAGAAAATCTGAAAGTCTACAAAACCGAGAAATTCTTTTGTTATATGTAAACACAATTCATAGAGTGGAGACCCCACGTTGTCGAAATGTGCCACATACATGTATAGTACAAAATACTGAAAATATAGAGGGAAAAATGCTCAAATAGTAGTAAAAGTTGGATTACAATAAAACGTATTCCATCTGATCCTGGTGCCAATAAGGGTCGAGTGTTTTGGCTCACGTGATCAAGAGAGGAATTACGTTACGCTACGTATGTTTATACGACACTTGACCCGGAAATCGCACATCAACGATCCACATCGCATTAGGGAGACGCGTTTTTACAGACGAGAAAAGTAAGCGTATAAAAAAAAATCCAAGATCGTTGGTGTAATAAATTTAATTAAATTTGAAAACTGTTTATAGAGGGTTGATAATAAATCGAGTCGGTCATGTCGAGTCATTACACCTCCTTTTTTATGAATATCGATGACGCTGGTAAAAAGCGAGTGATTTATGATCCGGAGATATTATTGAACCATCGTTTCAACAATCAGGAAGGAACTTTCGCACAATAAGAATCCGAATGAAGATACTCGAAAATTCTGACGGTTCCTCGTGCCAGGTATCATTTCCTGACCGTGACGAGCGTCCGACGTCATTCGCCTAATGGGAGATACATGGAAATACGAATTACGTAAAGACCCCGATCTCACCGATGACGAGCGGCTCGAGCGGCAGCTCGCTATCGCGCGCCTGGTTACGAGCAAATTGCTGCCGCTGCGGCGACACCCGGCAGGATAACGCCAACAATAATTGTAAGGACGTCGAGAGCCCGTTGCGGGAGGAAACGGAGACGCTTCTGCACCGCATCGCCTTCACTGTTTGGCACACTGCCCTCCATATCGAGAGCGAGGTGCGTGCGAATAACATGCGTGCCTCCACGCGTGTGCGCAATGTGTGTACCAATTTGTATAATAGTAGTTTCTTATAAACGTCAGTGGTTTTTTTTTTTTTTTTTTTGACAGCTTTAGAGAAATTTGACCGAACGTTAATCTTGCAGATGTGGATCGTTTTATTCTAAAGTATTAATTAAAATTTAATAGCGTAATAAAAGGCTGGAATTAAAAGTTTATTTGGAAAATAAAAAATTATGTATAAAAAAAATTTAGAAAGGAATTTTTTTATATTTGTAGAATTGAGATATATCTATAAAAAATGATGTACAAAAGAAAGAATTTTTATATTTGATATAATTATATCTCAATTAATCTTATAGCGTAATAAAAAAGGCTAGAATTAAAAGTTTATTTCGAAAATAAAAAAATTATGTACACGTATTAAAAAATTTAGAAAGGAATTTTTTTATATTTGTAGAATTGAGATATATCTATAAAAAATTATGTGCAAAAGAAAAGAATTTAAAAGACATTTTTATATTTGATATAGTTATATCTGAATTTCACAAATGTAAAAAATTCCCTTTCACGTTTGCATAATTTTTTATTTTCCGAATCAATTTTTATTTTAGCCTTTTCACGATATCGATAAAAGACATATGTTTCTTTCAAGTTTCAATTCGCTTTTACTGCATTTCTATAACTGTGCAATCGACCGTCCAATATTTAATAGGTTTTGATAGGATTGAATTGATATTGATAATGCCGGTCTTTTTTTAGAAATATTGAATACAACTCAATCTTCCTGTTACGGCACCTGTCGTTGTATAATTTTTCCTTTAAACAACAATAGAAATATCTTACACCGCATATCATTAATTTCAGAACAATGAACCATAATGTCACCTACTTTTCTTGAGACAACGCCCACGAAGAGTACAATAGTATTATATTTTCTGCGTATGAAATAGGAAGTTGTAATATAAAACCGAGCTATTATTCTTAACTCAACAATAAAAGATATTCAAAATAATATTATACTGCAGCATTATTTTAATAAAGCAATAATTAATTTTCTCATGATAATGAATGACATTTTTTGTCATTTTAAATCTTAATGTGATGGAGTGTTTATAATTTATTTTTATGCAATATTTAATAACATGTAAACACGTTAATTAATTTTTTCCATTTTTTTATTTACAGCACAATGGTGGTTACGAATCACAAACGAAAAACGTCAACAACATCGGGAGAAATAAGCATCATGTAAGTAAATGTATTTATACTGAACACAAAAATTATTTAGTAACACTGCGCCTAAATTTCGCAGTTAAATTGTAAAAATTATAACTTGAAAATATAATATATTATATTCTACAAAAATTAATATTAAAAATAAATTAATAATATTAAAAATAAATAAAATTATTTAATATTAAAAATAAATTTATTTAATTAAATATAATATCAGGAATTTACTATTAATTAAAGATAGTGGAAACGGAAGTGAATTAATCAATCTTCTAGAGATATCTTTTCCCGATGATCTGAACTAAAGGACCCTCTATCCATTCGTTTATCGGCTTCGATGAAAGCTCGCGATTCATCTCTAAATATTTAAACTCTTATTTATTCCGACGAGAGGACACAAAAAAAGCGGAGGCTATTTACATTCGGAACTCACGACTTTTGCATCTTTCGTGCTGGTTGCACGAAAAATTATTCCCGACGACGCATCGTCGTCGCCCATCCTCGAATACCTGCTTTCGAAATGCAGAAACCGGAGGACACACACGTGTACGACCTTTCCGAAACTGAACTCTTTACGGATGCGGGGAAGAGCGCGTTTTCCCCGCATTCAAATGGAAATGCGGTCGTCTCTTTTATGCTATCTTTTTATTTTTGTTCTTTTTTTTTACGCACCGGAAGTTCTACGCTCGTTATCCGCATCGCGACATTAAAATAGAATTATATCGTCACCAGTGTTGTGTTTTTAGATGATTTTAAAATTAGCTAGATAAGATGAGATAAAGATATGTCAATTCATCTTAGATAAGATGAAGATGATTTTGTTTGAAAAAATCTTATATTTGATATAATTATATCTCAATTAATCTTATAGCGTAATAAAAAAGGCTAGAATTAAAAGTTTATTCCGAAGATAAAAAAATTATGTACACGTATAAAAAAATTTAGAAAGGAATTTTTTTATATTTGTAGAATTGAAATATATCTATAAAAAATTATGTGCAAAAGAAAAGAATTTAAAAAGGCATTTTTATATTTGATATAATTATATCTTAATTTCACAAATGTAAAAAATTCCCTTTCACGTTTGCATAATTTTTTATTTTCCGAATCAATTTTTAATTTTAAAAGATCAAATTATATGGCGATTCATCTAGATAATAATATTTAAGACCCCTTGTGTAAATACAGTTATAAAAAAAAATGTAAATTATAAAAAGGATATAAAACATGTATATATGTATTCATATTTTTATTTATAAATTTTTATCGCTTTACTACTCAAGTTCTATTATTTAAATATTTTTATGTGCTATGATTCTAGATCAAAATTATCGGAAAATTCTAGATAATTTAGTAAAGATAATACTTTTTCTCATCTATACAGGATGTCCCAGAATTACTGTATCACACGTTAATGGGAGATTCCTGAAGCGATTTGGAGACGATTTTTCCTCAGCGAAAATGTCGAGAAAGGTCATCATTTTTTTAATGTTCTCAATTTTTGAAATCATGTATCTTTGTAACTAAGCCTTAAATTAAAATTCTATTAAAGTAAACTTTACCTGAAATTAACTAAAAAATGTAGTTTTGTTAATAATTTATTTTTACAAGGCTTAGTTTACAAAATCGCCTCAGGAATCTCCCATTAACGTGTGATACGGTAATTCTGGGACACCCTATATAGATAATACCTATATATTTTTATTATCTATATAAAAATAAGACGACGTTAAAGTTTCATCTAGATGATTATCTCTATAATTATTTTTGGTAACAGCAAACAGAAATCTCTCTTTTCTCATCCTTCTCACATGCGCGGAATATAAATTTCAATATAAATAAGCGATGAAGGTTTAATTGCGCCGGCGATTTAATCCCGGGAAATTGCATTAGAGCGGTTCAAATCCATGATAACCATAATTGCGATTGAGAATGAGACACGCATTGCATAAACCGCCACTTACTACGTTGGCGGAATAACTTTCTATTAGCGTATACATCGGAGAGAGAATACTAATATCCGAGCCGGTAATCAGCCGCGCTAATTATTCTTGTTCATCGGCTCTCTCGGAGCGGTTTCTCTTCCCTGGCTCGTGCACTATCCAAATTGATTCCATAAATCAATCCATACGTGACAAGTACGCAAATATCTGTCGGTCGAAATACAATATTTCTGCGAAAAGTCGCAAAAGTACGAGGCATGATTTTACGTAATTTTCGCGACCGAGCGAGTTCATCAGTATTCGGAATTGAAAAAAAAGAATATGAAGCGAGTCTTTTTTAAAATTCCACCTTTCAGACGGTGTTTCCTGCACACCGACAGAGCCATTGAAAATTATTCGCCACATGCACACAAAAGTGGCAGTAAGATAGAGCATTATACGCGATGTTACGTCGCGATAACCCTAGTACGTGTTGACGTGTGTCGGATGGATAATATATTCGCGAAACCCCGCACTTATTCCTGTAAAATGTATGCAGAAAGAGAGTCGACAGTAACTACGCCGCCGGTCGCTACTATTTTTGCATGTGACACAGACTTTTTATATATAATAATAGGTAAGTAACGTTGTATTTTTTTCAAACGAGAAATATATTTTTATTCATTTATATTACAATACTTGACTATACTTTATTTTATTTTTAATTTTATTATTAATTTTATTTTTAATTTTATTTATTATTAATTTAATTTTTTTATATTTCTTTATTTAATGTTATTTTATATTTATTTAATTTTTCTATATTTTCTATTATTTAATTTTATTACCTATTAATTTTAATTTTAATTAAATAATAGAAAATGTAGAAAAATAAAATTAATGTATAATGAAATTAAATAATAAAAATAAGTTTTAATTTTTATTATTAATTTTTTAAATGATTTTTTTCAAATTAATATCTTTAACATTAAAGAAGATATTTGAAATTCACATTTAAAGACATCTGTTTGAATTGTAACCAATAATGGTCAAAGTTAATACATTTATATATTTCTCGTTTTCTATATATGTGTGTTAATTAATTACGCGTTCCGGAAATTATCGTTCGCGATTACATCGCAGTTATGGGCCGTCCGAAGAATAGTAAAGGTGAGGCGCAAAAGTGGGAGCAGTAATAATTATGCGGAATGGCAATTAGCGTGAGGTAAAAACTGTTGCGCAGCTGTTATCGCTGTACGTTCTTTCTCGTGACATTGGGAATTTTTATTGGTCATTTTCGTCCGTATATTGCGTTTTATTTTTGTGTATCGCCGAGGACTCATTTTACTCCAAAATAGCATGTATCGATAACGATTTATTTTTGAGTAAAGAATAATGGATGAAATAAAACAGGATATATAATTTTCAAGTCACAATATTTTTTAACAAAATTGTCTTCTTGAAATTAATTGTTAAATGGAAATGACACAAGAACGAGAAGTAATAAGAATAAAATAATCTAGCCATACATCGTCATATCCAACATAATCGATGAAAATTAAACCTATTCGTTCCGTCACTGTACTTTCAATTAGAAATTAACCGCGAGCAATTAAGTGGATTAACGGTAATTGACATTAGTGGCGCGGCTTATTGCATACGTCGACTTCTGGCTTCTATGTATGTAATTGCACAAGATTAATAGCAAGTGATATAGAGAGTCACACAACTTCATTTTTTTAACACATTATAATGTATTGATTAATTATCAATTTTCGATTTCTCAAATTCTCCCAAAAAGATTTGGAACTCAAAATTTAAGATTCTGTGATGGATGCAGAAATGTAGATATCTTTGGTGAACATTTAGAATGCAAATATCATTTTATTTTTATAGATTTTTCTGCTTTTTAATTTCATGTTTATTATTAATTTTAATTTAATTTTTAATTTTATTATTTTGTTCGTATCACTTGTATTCGAGAATTTATCTATAGAAGACAAATTAAATTAGAAAGATGTAGTATAATTAATTTAAATCTCTGTTATAATTTAATACTCTGTTCAATTTACTTTTATTAAATTTTATGAATTTATTATTTTTTTATTAAAAAAAGTTAGATGTGTTATTATTCCAAAATTCAATAAAGCTTTCAGGACACGTCTTTTCACGTTGCACTGCAATTTACTTCACATTTTTCACTCGCCCAATTTCCCTTCTTTTTAATAATCCATCTACCCTACAGTATTTGCTGTTAATGTAAATAAAATTATATAGACGATCATCTAGATAAAATTTTGACGTCATTTTCATATAGATAATAAAAATATACATTATTTATATCTGCATCTCAGATGAAAAAAGTGTCATCTTTGCTAAGTTATCTGGAATAATGTTCAGCACATAAAAATATTTAAGTAGAACAAGCAGTAACCGATAGAAACTAAAAAATATATTTTTATATCTCTTTTATAATTTACATTTTTTTATAATTGTGTTTACATAAGCGGTCTCAAAAATAATATTCTGGAAATTATTTAGATGACTTACCATCTAATTTTATCTTTTATTTAGATATATTTAAATCAAAATCTTTTTCATCATCTTATCTAAGATGAATTTAGGTACACATTTTGCATTTCATCTTTATCTAGCTAATTTTTAAATCATCTAACACTGTCCATCTACAGGGTGTCTCATAGGAAATTGTTGAAACTAATCAGCTGTCATTTTTTAATGCACAAAAAATATTTTCAAAAATTTTATTTATCATTTCGGTATTAATTTATTATTTTAGTATCATATGCGATATATTTCCGAGACTCGAACAATAATCCAGTCATCTTTTTGTCCTATCATTTTTCTTTTGGATACACGGAGAGAATTTTCTCTTAGAATTTACCCTGAAAATCATTTTAATATTGTTTTTGATAATATGACATTGAAAGAACTTTATAAGAGTTGCTCTGATTAATATTTACCACAATGAAAAATATTAATATGTACATAGTAAAATTATTGAGAAAACAAAATTATGTTTATGTAAAGAGGAAAATCCTCAGTTTAAAAAAAAATGATAATATTTATCATTAGTTTATGTAATTTTATGTGATTGCGAGCACTTTTTCATTACTTTTTATCAATAAAATAAACTGGTATACAAACATTATATTTATATCCATTAAAAATTTCTGTTTTCTCAATAATCTCATGCATTAAAAAATGCCAGCTGATTAGTTTCAGCAATTTCCATGAAACACCTTGTATCATGGAGCTTTAAATTCGAAGCAGCGATATTACGACTTGTTTTCTGCAATAGGCAGGTATTCTCATTTCGCTTCTGATTTAACCACGACAGCCTCCACGATATCGAATCCCGAGAAACACGCCGGACTTAGGGGTACGGGCAATTTTTTCGCGCAGCAACGCACAGCTGCGGCAGGACCACACGACGTAATAGTAATTTCACACGTGAGCCTAACAGCCGGAGGGATTTATGAGCGGGTGGGTAGAGCCGACTGCGCGAGAGAAACGAACTCGCGGTATTACGATGCCCATAAAGGCAAGTATTTTTAGAGGTGGCCGTCTTCGCTCTCGTTCTCTCTTCGCCCAGTTTCTGCCTTCCTTCGTTCATTGTTATATTGTACGAACCTTCATATATTTCCGAGACTCGAACGCGAACAATAATCCAGTCATCTTTTCGACCTGTCATTTTTCTTTCGGATATAAATTCGTCTTGACTGGAGAAGAAAAATATTTTCGAAAATTTTATTTATCATTTCGGTATTAATTTATTATTTTAGTATCATATGCGATACTCGAACAATAATCCAGTCATCTTTTCGTCCTATCATTTTTCTTTCGGATACACGGAGAGAATTTTCTCTTAGAATCTACCCTGAAAATCATTTTAATCGTGGGATAATATGATATTGAAAGAACTTTATAAGAGTTTCTCTGATTAATATTTACCACAATGAAAAATATTAATATGTACATAGTAAAATTAATCGAATATATTTTATATCTTATTGTGATAAATATTAATATTTTTATTGCGGTAAATATTAATCAGAAAAACTCTTATAAAATTCTTCCAATACCATATTGTCCCACGATTACCATGATTTTCAGGATAAATTCTAAGAAAAAGTTTCCTCTGTGTATAAATTCGTCTTGTCTAGAGAAAAAAATATTTTCTAAAATTTTATTTATCATTTCGGTATTAATTTATTATTTTAGTATCATATGCGATATATTTCCGAGACTCGAACAATAATCCAGTCATCTTTTCGTCCTATCATTTTTCTTTCGGATACACGGAGAGAATTTTCTCTTAGAATCTACCCTGAAAATCATTTTAATCGTGGGATAATATGATATTGAAAGAACTTTATAAGAGTTTCTCTGATTAATATTTACCACAATGAAAAATATTAATATGTACATAGTAAAATTAATCGAATATATTTTATATCTTATTGTGATAAATATTAATATTTTTATTGTGGTAAATATCAATCAGAAAAACTCTTATAAAATTCTTCCAATACCATATTGTCCCACGATTACCATGATTTTCAGGATAAATTCTAAGAAAAAGTTTCCTCTGTGTATAAATTCGTCTTGTCTAGAGAAAAAAATATTTTCTAAAATTTCATTTATCATTTCGGTATTAATTTGTTATTTTAGTATCATATGCGATATATTTCCGAGACTCGAACAATAATCCAGTCATCTTTTCGTCCTATCATTTTTCTTTCGGATATTTTCTCTTAGAATTTATCATTTTAATCGTCTTTATAAGAGTTTCTCTGATTAGAAAAATATTAATATGTACATAGTAAAATTAATCGAATATATTTTATATCTTATTGTGATAAATATTAATCGTTATGTCGATTACCATGATTTTCAGGATAAATTCTAAGAAAAGTTTCCTCTGTGTATAAATTCGTCTTGTCTATATTTCTAAAATTTCATTTATCATTTCGGTATTAATTTGTTATTTTAGTATCATATGCGATATATTTCCGAGACGCGAATAATAATCCAGTAGGATAGTTTTGTCTAGAGAAAAGGAATATTTCCTAAAAAAATTAATTTATTATTTCGGTATTAATTTATTATTTTAGTATCGTATGCGATATAATTTGTGGGACAGGAATATATACATACACGCGGGATTAAAGTACAGGATTACAATGACATACGTGGCTGTGCCACAGGCATTTCGGCGTTTCCCGCCGCTATATAATTAGTTATAACGCCGTAGTCTAACATACAAAAGCGGAGTCTCGGCGAACCGCTTAAAAGGACCAGGCGGAGAACGCCTGAATACAGTCGGGAATTATATGCGCGTTAGTCGAGAAAGGCCAACTTGTCAGACTTACGGATTGCATTACGTCTGTCGAGCGCGCGGCGAATTATCTGCAGTTCTGATAAAATTTCTCGGACGAGAGAAAGACGAATATTTAGAGACAAATAACGCGAACAACACATACGGTATCGTAATCCACCGGATAAATCACGCGAATATCATTTTAACAAGCGCCATCAATAATTCGACTCAGTGTTAAGGTTTCTATGTAAATAAGAAACCGCAGCGATTTGTGCAAAAAATAAAGAATGCAACATCCTGCTCTTACATGTGCGATTTTCGCACGTCCTTCGCGACAAATCATTCGCGCGTCTTCCGCAACTCGTGCATCGTATTAAGAGGATCTTATGTAGCAACTACTAAGATTGACAGAGCGCGAATAGCGTGACTATTCGGTGGGAATCAAAGTCACGCTACCTGCACGAATTCGTTACATCACGCGGCTACGTGCAGGGCCGCTTCAACAAGAATGTGTAATCAAACGATAATAAGACACCTAGCTGTCTTCTTCAACCTGGATAGTTTAGACTTTTCAACTGAGAAATTGCAACTGAAGAGGACTTTTTTTTAAATCAGAATGTAAGCAGGGAATTAAACTGAAAAAGCTTTCCGTAAAATGTAAAAAGAATAGCTTTGAAATTTATATATAAGAAAAAGCTTATATGAGAAAATATATAAAAAATAAACTAAAATAAAAAATAAAATAAAAGTTTAGACTGAGAAATTGCAGCTGAAAAAAATTGAGGACTTTTTTCAATCAGGGAATAAGCAGGGAATTAAATTGAAAAAGCTTTCCGCAAAGTGTGTAAATAGTTTTGAAATGTATATATAAGAAAAACATAAAATAAAATAAAAATAAGAGAAATATTTTTTAATATCACAGACTTGTTCCTTGGAAATCTAGAAGACCGAACGAGGCGATATTATGCATGATATTTACGCAGTTCGCCGTCGATTATATATTACTCGCGTATTGTGTTAGTCATTTAATCATAGAGGAATCGAAAACTTCGTTGATGATGTGTGCACATTTGATCGTGAAACGATGATGATGACGGTAAATAACCGGCCCTGGAGAGCGCGAGCTGGCACACGTCAGACATACATACGCATATGACAGAAGGCGGCGCGATTATCTGACAAAACCGCCGACCGGCTACTAGATATTCTTGCGTATCTCCAGCAAAACCAGGCGAAACACAATATACCCGGCAGTGTATCGTTCCGCGGCGAGGAAACACGGCGCATCATCCGGACGTATCTCTCTGTTGCGTGAAATAAACTCGGAGCATTCCGTCGTAAAGCGGAAGAAAAAATTTGTTGCATTAACAAAATTCTGTTCGAAAATGGACGAAACTGATTGAATCTACCTGAATTCCTTTTAATACAACAAGCATCTTGTTTGCACAATAAATCGAACAAGATGTTGTGAACAAGATATTTGTCGCATTACAAGGAATTTTGGTCCTCCGTAAGGACATGTCGCCATGTCGGAGAACATCGTCGTCAGGATCGTCTACGCGCCGATGTACTCCAAGGTGGATGCGACTAATTTTGTCGTTTGTAAATTGAGCGATGATGATGACGAGCTGGTAATTTATCGTTCAAAGTTTTTGTCAAGTTTTGTCATTTAATTATGAGATATTGTGACGTTGGTGATGTATTCAAAGTGGAAGTGGGATCAACGTAATATAAATCCTTCGAGAAAATGTTTGAAAAATTTATATATTTAATTCACGAATTAAAGTATTATGGTATTAGTGGGAAAATATAAAAATTTAAATATTTAATTATTTCATATTTTTCTTCTGAAATATGAGCTTTATAATATGTATTTATAACGCGTGTCCTAAATTTAAATTTAAATCAGAGATATTTTTCCTTGGCGTTATTTCATTTCAAGATGTTATTACGCGAGTTGTGTTTATTTACCTAAATTATACATATCAAAGCTGTTATGTAGAGAACAATAAAGACGAAGTGAATTCATAAGCAAAGACTAAAGAAATGAAATCTGCACTCCGCGAAGAAAATTTGATTGTCTGGGGCGACATTGTTTTAGAATTTACACGGGAAAACTAAGTTTTGCAGCAGTCAGAGACAAATCTTACGGAAAGGTTTCCGAATGAAGATTATTAGAACGGAATTATTCGCAGAAAGATTTCCTTCTCAAAAACAAATTTATTTTTTTTTGCTATGGATAATGCATTTTTTTTTTAAATAAATCTCGTATATTATACCTCGACGCAAAAAAAATTTTTTTAAGTATAATTATTGTAGAAAATTACTTTAAAAATTGACGATTGACGTTGCACTCTTTAATCTTTTACTAATTTATATAAAATAATATAAAAATATTTTATATCATTATAATATATATAAATATATAAAAAATATATTTAAATAAAAAAAAATATATATATAATATATAAAAAAGATTAGACATAAAAATATCTTCTTTGGCAATAGAGATAAATTAAACTTTGTTAATTATTCCGCATTTAAATCTTTTTAAAAATTTCTTCGACACAGTTTGTAGTATTAATATAAAAAAAGCTTTGCTTATCAAATCCATCAGACTCGAATGAACCATCTGATTACAGGTGCAGACGTCAGCGGTGGCGTCAACGCCTGCGAGGACACCGGGCGTCGGCGCGGATTCGACGATGACGGGACCTGGAAAGGGCGGAGGTCGCGTGGCGGAGGTGATGGAGTTCTGTTACGTCACCGAAAGGATCATCGCGCTTTGGTACCGGGAGGATGCGCAGGGTGTCCTCGAGCACGCCACGACCCTTCTGCGCGGGAAACACGCCGATAATTACATGGTGAATTTCAATAATCCCTCTCACTTCTTTCTTCAACGTGAAAAAGAAAAAAATTCGGCCACGAAGATATTATAATTAAGAATATATATAGTCAATTAAAATTAATATTTTTGTTCCTCGCACAAAATTTATACGCAGCTATAGTTTCTTATTTTTCTTAAAATGTTAAATATGTTTTTGTCAATTCGAGAATTATAATTCCTACATTTCCCTAAAGAGATTTAAGCGAGAAAAATATCGGGTCGAAGTCGCTGAATCGGGGAAAAATTAAATTAAATATATTAATAAAAATAAAATATATTTTTGCTTTGCAGATCTTTAATTTATCGTCGCCCGGTCGACCCGGTGAACCGAATACGAGGGAAGCTGGATGGCCGCAGGGATTAGCGCCAAGTTTGGAGAGACTTTGCGCCCTCTGCAAGGAGCTGGACTCTTGGTTGAACGGCGCTTCTAATCGCGTCGTTGTTCTGCATGCCAGGTTTAACTTTGCCAGATTTTCCGCTTTTCATTCAATTTAACTTTTAATTTCTTATAATAATTCCGAGGCAAGATTAAAGGCCAAGTTTTCGCAATTTAATTTACGGACGACTTTAATGATACTAAATACCCATCACAAAGGAAGTAACATGAACCTTTCAAAGCGTAAAGAAATCTTTTTCTTTTTTTTTTTTTTTTTTTTTTGCATACAAGATACAAGCCATTAAGATATGTCTCTCATAATAGAACATTCAAAGCGGTCGATCATATAAAAAGTCATAATTTTACATTCACCGCCCTCTCTCGAAACTCTAACAACTTCCCGTTAGTCATTTCCATTCATCGTGAATAATAACGTCATTAGAACGCGATCAGCCCGCGGCGGAAATCTTTTCGCGTCTTACCTCTCGCAGAGAGAGAAGGTATAAACGCAACACAGACGCGTCCCGGCGTTCGCAATGCACATTATATAGCTCCGAGTTAACGTTATCGCGTTCTCTTCAGGGGCAGCAAGGAGCGGCTGGGTGTGGCAGTGTCCGCTTATATGAACTACAGCAGCATCTGCGGAGGACGCGATCAAGCGCTCGACAGGTTCGCCATGAGGAGGTTCCTCGACGACAAGATCGGATCCTTGCAGGTTCCCTCGCACAGAAGGTAAGGAAAATTCGTATCAAATGCGCGCAACTCAATGTGCATGTCGTGGCTTTGAAGCTTATTTTATCTATATTTAGATTTATCAATATTTTCAGTATCTTCTGGTTCCTGTTTTTGACATAATGATGCTTATTCGGTCATTTTATGGTGCCTTATTATATTCAATTTTTATTTTATAATTGTACGTTTGACATTTCACAATCTCAATTCTACACTGAAAAAAAATTTATTCAATTCGAATAAATATTTGTTTCAATATTGCCTAATAAATCATTTATTTGAAACTAATAATATTGATTTGATATAAGCAAATTGTTTTTAAAACAGATAAATATTTATTATAATTTAATGATTTTCTTTTTAAGTGTAGAATTAAATATTGCAAGTCCTCTCGCACAGAAGATAAAAGAAATTCCTATAAAATTTTACGGTACCTTATAATCAATTTTTATTTTAATCGTTTGACATTTCACAATCTCAATTCTACACTGAAAAAAATTTATTCAATTCGAATAATTATTTATTTCAATATTGCCTAATAAATCATTTATTTGAAACTAGTAATATTGATTTGATAGAAACATATCCTTTTCAAAACAGATAAATATTTATTAATTTAATGATTTTCTTTTTAAGTGTAGAATTAAATATTGCAAGTCCTCTTGTACAGAAGATAAAAGAAATTCCTATAAAATTTTACGGTGCCTTAGAATCAATTTTTATTTTAATCGTTTGACATTTCACAATCTCAATTCTACACTGAAAAAAAATTTATTCAATTCGAATAATTATTTATTTCAATATTGCCTAATAAATCATTTATTTGAAACTAATAATATTGATTTGATATAAGCAAATTCTTTTCAAAACAGATAAATATTTATTATAATTTAATAATTTTCTTTAAATAATTGCAAGTTCCCTCGCAACAGAAGATAAAAGAAATTCCTATAAAATTTTACGGTGCCTTATAATCAATTTTTATTTTAATCGTTTGACATTTCACAATCTCAATTCTACACTGAAAAAAAATTTATTCAATTCGAATAATTATTTATTTCAATATTGCCTAATAAATCATTTATTTGAAACTAATAATATTGATTTTCAGTATCTTCTAGTTCCTGTTTTTGATATAATAATGCTTATTCGGTCATTTTATGGTGCCTTATTATATTCAATTTTTATTTTAATTGTACGTTTGACATTTCACAATCTCAAATCTACACTGAAAAAAAATTATTCAATTCGAATAAATATTTATTTCAATACTGCCTAATAAATCATTTACTTGAAACTAATAATATTGATTTGATATAAACAAATCCTTTTCAAAACAGATAAATATTTATTAATTTAATGATTATCTTTTTAAGTGCTGAATTAAATATTGTGCTTATGACTAATGTTTTGCTCAAATTGAGGATTAAGTTGTGTTATTTTCAAATTGAAAGAAATGAATGCGAGATGTGCTCAATTAAATTTATATGCAGCAAAGAAACTAGTATGAGCGATTTTTGCGACGTTTATTAAAAGCCATTGAATATCTTCAAATTTATATCGCAGGAAGAAGAGAGCGTGTAACTGGTTCGCGTTTCTTCTCGCAGCTATTCGATTAAGAAGGACACCTCGCGTCCTTGAGTAGACACTCCCGTCATTTTATTTGTTATATGTACGTTTTACGCGCCATCGACCTGAAATGTCGAGTCCTCATTATCTAGTCGTCATCATCATCTTCAATCATCCTTGCTCGTTTTATGCCATCCTTCATGTTCGTATGCCTTCATTAATCATGTTGATGCCTATCCGATCATTCCTTCATAATGGATTCCGGAATTTCTCTGTCTTTTTCTCTTTCTCTCTCTCTCTCTCTCTTTCATTTGGTAATCCTTAGAAATTTCTCAGAATAACTCAACATCGATCTTTTTTTATATTTACTCTGTAATTGCTTCGTTCGCACCAGGATCGCAGCATTTACTTACGAGAGAAGATAATCGCGAGGCGAAACGATATTAACAAAATAAAATGATCGACCATGTTGCATATTTGATGCTGTCGTTTATTCAAGAAATATTTCTGTCAGCCGGTTCTCTGTCGCGTGATTCTACGAACCACCGATCCAAAGATAACGAGCTCTCATCATCATCATCATCACCATCATCATCGGCAGCCTGATCGTTTACTTCACTGCCATGTCGTCGTGTGCATTCGTAATGATTATAATGAAACGCGGTCGAGCTTACATTGAGATTGTCTCTTTTAATCGTGTTCGCACTTGCAGCTAGTGCATTTTTCCAATTTATAAATACAACCGGAATAAGGGAAAAAGGTTTTTATATGCACGCATCGAGATCAATTTATTAAAATGATTTTACTTATGAAGAAAAGTTACTTTTGAATGATTACAGAAGTTTTCGCAGTTATACAGGGTGTTGAAAAAAAGGATAAAATATTTTAAGGGGATTTAGTATGCCCAAGTCGAACAGTCTTAATATAAATATTTGAGTCCGCAAATGAACTGTTTTTGAGATCTTTTTATATGCTTTTTTTATTTTTATTTTTATTTTTTATTATTTTATTCATGTGAATATAGGTAAATTATATTAAATATTATAAATAAGTTATGTGAGGTATTGCAAATATCTTAAAAGTGGCTCATTTGCGGACTCATGTTTATTAAGGCTTCTTAACTTGTTTTGAGACATAATAAATTCTTTTAAAATATTTTACCTTTTTTCAACACTCTGTATCGCAGTTAAATAATGATTTCGATATATAAAGAATTAATAATTATCTTCCGAATAAATAAAAATAATTATGTCACATTACATACTTGAATTATGCATTTTCGGTGATAAATAATTCTTTTCTAGTAATTTATTTGCATAAAAATACTTATTCTTGCAACTGCCTACAATTATAATAATATTATGAGGAACTCATTATCTTTTCTTCTTCGAATAATAATTTCCCGAATCGAGATAATTAAAATAAAAATCTTGCGGACAAGTAAATGCGCGGATTTTTGTTCCTAATCGATCCTCTCTATTTTTCGCGCGCGCCTCCGTTTATCTCGCAATTTATACTCGGGGTTCGACCAACCGGTTGCTTTTAGCGAAATAAATGCGACTCATCCGGCAGTTTATCGTGCGTATTACGCGCCATCAACCCCAACGTTACACCGCGACCGCCGTATCATTACCGTCATCATCATCCTTATCGTCGTCCTCGTCATCCGCGTCGCCGTGCGCAATTATAATGACCGTAATGAGCCGCGACCGAGGTGTGCCCGCGACTTCCTCGGCGCGCTTCTTCTTCTTCTTCTTCTTCCTCTTCTTCTTCTTCTTCTTCTTCTTCTCTTCTTGGTCCTCACTTTCGCCCTGATCTTGCCTTCATCCTCCATTAATTCCGCGAGCCGCGAGCATTAGCATGTCGTTAGCGAAGCTGCACTCTCGCGAGAACATATGAAAGCATTACCAAGATCTCTTACGACGAACCATGTCGAACGTTAGTTGCTCTTCGTGTCACGGGCCAAGGCTTCCGTTCCTGAACCATCAGTCTCATTCATCATATTTCTCATGCATTTGCTTCTTGAAAGAAATTTGCTTTTTTGCTCTTCTATTTTTCTTTTTCTTTTTTTGACCGGAAAGATCGTTTCATGCTCTTCATCAAGTCATATCGTTTATTATTTGTTTTGTATTATATATACTTAGAGATAATTTTCTCTAATTCATCCTGAAAATCTTGGTAATCGTGGGACAATAATATGGTATTGGAAGATTTTTATAAGAATTTTATAATTTTACTATGGATTTTAGAAAATTAATCCAACATGATTTATGTCTTATTGTGGTAGATATTAATATTTTTTTATTGTGGTAAATATTAATCAGAGAAAATTCTTTCAATGCTGTCCCACGATTATTACCAAAATACATAATAATCATTTAATAAGAGTTTCTCTGATTAATATTTACCACAATAGAAAAGATTAGTATCTTATTGTGGTAGATATTAATATTTTTTATTGTGATAAAATAGAAATTTTTATAAAATTCTTCCAATACCGTATTGTCCTCCGTTTACCATGATTTTCAGGATAAATTTTAAGAGAAAATTCTTTCCGTGCACTTTTATTTTTTAAATATTAGAGATTTTAAATTAAAAAAAAATTTTAATAGTTGTTTATATTTTTGAACGTCGAACGTGAGAGAGAAAAAATGATGGTTTCTTGGTTCATTTCAGGTACATCGAGTACTTTAGCGGATTGCTGTCGGGCTCCCTGAGGATCAGCCCGTCGCCATTGTACTTGACCCATCTGACAGTTCTCGGAGTTCCGCTCTTCGAGCCGACGGGCTGTCGAGCTTTCCTCAAAGTATACGAAGGACTAACACCGGTTTACACTTCGGATCTGTATTCGGTGACAAACGCGCGCGAATTCACGGTTAATCTAGGCGGACTCCGGCTGAGAGGAGACATCTTAGTCAAGTGCTATCACAGGGTATACTCGAAGCAGACTCGAGAGGTCATGTTTTCCCTCCAGGTGAGAATGCATTCAGTAGATATGTGTTATTAAAAAAATGTTATACAATTTTTATTCTTTTTAAAGTTTCATTAAAATAGAAATTAATTATTATAAAAAATTAAATATTTTGAGTTCGATTTCATTCACGTAAAATTATATATATGCTATATCAATGCTATCAAGTTATTACGTCGATCGCACGTAAATATATCATCACAATGATGCGTTTATAATGCAGATGTGTTTTACTAGTACGCATGTAACTTCACATGAAATCAGCAACGTAAATAGCAATTGATGCAAAGTGCTTCGTAAATAGTTATAAGGATAACGATCTGAATATATATATATATATGTGCTCAGGAAAACGTTTGCGCGGTAATTTTGTGCCCGAGAGGCAAACAACATCCTCTGAAATCGACGTAACGTCATGATCAGTTAATAACTAGATATATGTATATTTTCTGTGACGTGGAAAAAATATACAAATGCAAACTCAATGTGGAAAAATCTATCACGATATCAAGTCTTATCTGAGTGACAAGACATGAAAAAGAAGAGATTGCACACTTTTAATTAACTCGACCGACATTACAATGTATATACTTGTTTACGCAAGTCGACAGTGACATTCGAATTTGCATACTTGCAAGTCCTGATGTTATGATTTATGTGTCGTATTTTATTACGGTGTTTGATATATTGTGTAAAAAAAATTATTCTTTGAAAAATATCTAATTTTAAAATTTGATATCAAGTTTTTAAATCGCTCAGAAAATCTGCAAAATGAGAAAAAGCTCAGCACTTGGATAAATCACACATATTGGAGGAATTTTGTAAAAGTTTCTCTGATTAATATTTATCACAATAAAAATATTAATATGTATATAGTAAATTTTACTAACAGTAAACTTACTAGTAAAATTAATCGAACATATTTTATATCTTATTGCGGTAGGTATTAATATTTTTTATGGCAGTAAAAATATTAATCAGAGAATCTCTTATCCAATTTTTCAATCATACCGTATTGTCCCACGATTATCATGATTTTCAGGATACATTCTAAGAGAAATTAATTCTGTGTATAGTCTCATATAAGGCCATCATTATTTCCGCAGTTTCACACGTGCGTAATTACGGAGAACGTCGTGTCCTTCCCGCGGTCGGAGCTCGACGTCGCCTGCGACGATCCCCGATGTCCGCCCGACAGCGTGGTGACACTTTACTTCGCTACCGACGCGAAACGTCAAGACGGTCCAGTTCCGGCGCCGACGCCGGCCGTGCCGCATGCATCGGCGCATCACGATCCCATCTTGCACTGGGACAGCTACACGAATCTCGAAATCAGCGACGACGGTGAGTCTTAGCAGATCTCTTTTTGCTTTCTCCATTTTTTTGAATTTTTTTCGAAAAATCCATTTCTTTATTTAAGGGTGACATGTCCGATATTTCAATACTTTTTGCAGCTCTTTAAATTATTTTGAAGATTAATTAAAGTTGAAAATTAAATGGTCCACTTTAAATCTGATTAATGTCCGATATTTCAATACTTTTTGCAGCTCTTTAAATTATTTTGAAGATTAATTAAAGTTGAAAATTAAATGGTCCACTTTAAATTATCACCCATTTACCTAAACTAATAAATAACGTTTTATGCCAAGGAAATATGCTTGGCACGACGCGACATAATAAGTTGCTCGAAAACGACTTTATTATTATATGTCAATTATCATGTTTCATTTCTAAACCATTTAAATAAAACACGTTAGACAGATGAAACACAAAACGAGAGGACATTGTAAAGGAGAAATAAATTTTCTTTAATGAGAAACGACACGATTTCGGCAGGGGAAACTCTGTTATTTGCAACATGATTCTTGCAAATTGATGCTGATCTGTCTCTGATGCAGTAAATTGTGCGAGCTCGTCGATTAATTTTATCGATATCGTGGAAACCGCGATCCGCGGTTTACGGGAGCTCATCGTTGTCTGACTAATTCGTGCTAATTTTCGTCGTAATGGCACCCAATTAACCTCGATCTGACAGCGAGGGCTAGTCAGAAATACAACTTGGCTAGCTTTCATGATGGGAGGGAGCGAGAGTTAGACGAAAGAGCGGCGGTTAGAGTACAGTGCATTTAGAACGACTGACTAACGCCGCCGGAAATACGTTCTGCTAAATGGAGGGAAAATGACGGTTTATCGCTACGGGGGCGATTTCCACGGTTGGAAATAGATCAAAGGTCGGCCCGATAGATGGGCAAGGTCCATCGCGTTAACCGTTTCCGAGTATAACGTTTCTACCCTGTCGCTACCTATTTACATCTTCACTTTTCTCTGGGGTAGAACTTCTCGATGAGACGCGCAAAGTGCGCTTGTCGCAATGAATATAAAATATCTATGAGACATCAAATATATTTTCTGGATTTCTTGAAAATATTACGTTCAAGTTATGCGAAAAATATGGTCAATTTTTAATCCCTTAAAGGACCCTTAAAGGAAATACATATGATTTTAATTTTCGGTAGAATTAGCTATTTTTCTCATAAATTGTAGCTTAAGGTTTACCGTGAACAAAATATGTAATAGCCTCAAAACTAAATATTCAATAATTATTGAGGTCATCTAGGATTTTATATAAATTCAAAAACCTCGTACTAATTTTGTAAAATTGAATCTTGGTAAGATCAGCTGGTTTTTTCATATGTTGTAGCTTATGATGTCAAAGAAAAAATAAATTCCAAGTTAAATAATAAACGGTTACTGATTTACAGCCATCAGTCAAATGCGAAAAACTTTAGCTCTGCGAGTTGTTTGGCTGGTTGTAACTCAGTAACTATCCAATATTTAGCTTTGAAGCTATTGCAGCTCTTGTTCAGAAGGACGTAATAAAAAAAAACATATAAAAAAACATGAAAAAAATACAGCATATGAAAAGAAAACAGCCAATTCCACCGAAAACCAACCTATGTATTTGGTGCAGGATTCTTTAATTAAATCTATAATATCTCTAAAATTGAATTAAACTCGCGAAATAATCATAACAAGAACTCGCTACAAGTCCCCTTAAATTTATTCACCTGCTACTTCTAAAAATCAATTCCAAAATGCCGGCATAAACACGTTATTCAAATTAGTTCCACTCGAAAAGAGGATTTGCACTCGTTACACGGCTTCAGCCACGCTTAGCAAGGAACATCCAATGCAGCGATTTGTTCTGCTCGGTATAGTGCTTTAATCAAAATGATTGCGTCATCGCCATGAATCCCCCAAAAGCGCGCGTCCGGACGACTCGAGGCTCTCAGAGTCAATTCGTTTCGTTAGCGATCGAGAACCCAGTCGGGTTCCAATAAAGCTGTGACCCAAATTGCCCGCGATGCTAAATCGACGCCGTTTGTTATGGGACGAAGAGCGATGGCAAATGAGAGGACCGGAAAGAAAGAAAGATGGAAAGTGGCCCTGAGCGACGCGATCAAAGGGAGACGGATAGATCAGTATTTTGGGTTGGGCTGGAATGCTCGATTGGATGCCGGTAGTTTAATCGCAATACTGCCGGCGACCCATCTATACCGGATATCCACCCTTTCCGCCTCTCCGATTTGCCGAAGGGGTGTGACCAAACTGGAATCAATTCCACCTCTCGATAACCAGGCAGCTCCGCTGAACGAAAGAGATCGTGTACCCTGTCGTTATCAGAACGCGATCGATTATAGAAATCCTTCCTGGACTTCTGCATCAGGCTGATTTCTACCCCAGTTCGAGTTTTAATTGTCTAAACATTGATCGTGAAATATTTTTGAAAAGAATCGCATTAATTAGGATTTTAGCTTTCGGTGAAATCGACTGGTTTTTTTTCATATATTGTAGCTTATGCGACTTGCTAAAGATGGAATAGCCTCAAAGCTAAATATTGGTTACTGAGTTACAATCAGTCAAACAACTCGCAGAGTTATAATTTTTTGTATTTGACTGACTGTAAATCAGTTCATCTATTATTTAGCTTTGAGCCTATTTTTTGTTCAGCAAGTCATAAAAATTACATGTGAGAAAATCAGCTGATTCAATTTCATTTAGGATTTTATATAAATTCAAAAACCCCATACTAATTACATAAAGTAAAATCATCAGCTAGTTTTCTCATATGTTGTAGCTTATGATTTACTAAACAAAATAATGTAATAGACTCAAAGCTAAATAATAGATAGTTACTAATTTATAGCCAGTCAAATACAAAAAACTTGGGCTGTTTGACTGACTGTAACTCAGTAATTATTCAATATTTAGCTTCGAATCTAAATATTACATATGAAAAAAAAACAGCCAATTCTACCAAAAATTAAAATCCTATATATTTGGTGCTGAGTCCTTCATCAAAAATATACAGAGAAAATTTTCTCTTAGAATTTATCCTGAAAATCATGGTAATCATAGACAATATGGTATTGGAAGAATTTTATAATAATTTCTCTGATAGTAAAATTTACTATGTACATATTAATATTTTTTATTGCAATAAATATTAAACAGAGAAATTCTTATAAAATTCTTCCAATACCATATTGTCCATAATCACCATGATTTTCAGGATAACTTCTAAGAAAAAAATTCTCTCCGCGTACAAACATCTTGATTCTTTAAATACAAAAATGTCAATGATATTATTGAAAAATTCAGATTACTCTTTTAATTATTTCCACGTCGATATACGATGCCTCACGAATCTGTAAAGAATCTTGATCGCAATACAATCCGAACGAATGACAAATACGATGATCCTTCGCGCCGTTCCCTTAATCGACCATGTCGGTTCGGAGAGTAGAGACGTTTTAAATCATACTTAAATCATTCCAATTCCAGTCGCGTCGTCAAGTATCGAAAACGATCTGTCGCCGAGGGGCCTCGCCCGCATCAATTGGCGCTCAAAAGCCTTCGATTTGCGCCGCTACTTCGTTTAACGATTTAATGCGAGTCCGCGCGCGCGATTTTCCTCGTAGCCCGATCACAAGCGAAGAGTTAGCTCTACGCTTCTCCTCCCAGTCGCGAGGCAATATTTATCCGCACGAAGAGCCTCTCTTCCCGCCGGCGGACTGGATCGCAGAGTGGAACGAACCTCCATCGTGACGAGACGTCTGATGGAAGACGTCGCGGTTGCCCACACGCTGCACCCACGCGACAGAATAGCGTTTCCTATAGGGTATATCGTGCTCGCGCTTTAACAATCTGCTGAGTTATGTCAGCGAACAGATCTCTCCGATCTTCATCTTTGATCGGCGACGCGAAGCGGAAGTGTCGTGGATCTTTAGCGTTTCCGGGTTAATGTCATATGAAATATATATACCTATGTGTTCAATCTCTCTTAAAATAGGCTGCGAAGGATGAGCAGACAAAATTAAAGCTGAATCTATCAATAGATTGAAGAAAGGAAAGTTGACATAGCGAGAACAAGTATTTTTATATTTTTGTCAAATTAGTGGAATCTTATTTTAATCTTTAAAGGGATCTTTTAAAGGATTCTGCTTTATGTATAAATAATAATTAAATTATAATAAATGTATACATATATATAATAATTAAGAAGAAATAATAATATGTAAAGCGTTAAAAATATAAATATATATTAATTAAAATAAATGAAAATATATTTTTATCACAATAAATAGTATATTATTGCGCGGATTAGAATGTAACAAAAGTCGGGGAAACTGCATCGTCTTAGAAAGAGATGGAAAGCCGTACAATATAAATGATTTTCATGGTGTGGTGGGGAGTCTTCGGGTTTATTCTTGGCATCAGAACGCCATGGATGGGGATAGAGCTTAAGAGTTTTCGCGCGCTTCTACGTAACCAGTCTCAGTTCGATTCGTGATACTCTTGTGATCAATAGTGCGTGCATGAGTCTCTCTATTTGTAGAAATTAGTATTCCCGTCATGTATCGATAAATACGAGATCTCATCGAACGGTGATTGCGCGCAATTACACTATTGCGACAACCGCAGAATCGTAATTACTAAATTGGCGAAAGTGGGTAAGTGAAAACGTAATTTTTTATCTCTTTCTTATTTTAACACAGCAATTTTTCAATTGACGAGCGTAAATTTAACTTTGAATCATTCACTTTGAAATAATACAAAAAGCAGTTTTATGAATATTAAATTTTAAACACATTCTTACGTTATTAAAAATAATATGACATTTAATTAAAAAAATTAAAATTATTTTGAAATTATTATTAAAATTGCTGTTTAAATATGTCATATGATATATAATTATATATCTTTGGAAATATATTTCTCTTTATCGCTTTCTATCATGATACTGCAACAAATATCCATCCGACATTTCACAATTGGAGATT